CAAGAAGCCTGGCTGATAGGGGGTGGGGGGATCCTCGCCCCCTCACAGTGGCAGGGGAGGCAATTTTCGTTAGTCAGGCCATCTGCCTTCTCTGTCCCCCTGCCACTCATCAGCAGCTTGACAGTGTTTCTCCACGGACTGGGCTCCCAGGGGAGTACAAGGACTCTTGGGAAGGGCCATTTTCAGTTTCTCTACTTTGACTGTCCTGCCTTTCTAGCCTATAATATCAGAGAGAGCCTTTCTGTACACCACCTCTTCCCTCCACATTACAATAGCTTCCCACGACCCACAAGCTTTCTGACTTGCCCACCAGAAAGAGGGGTTGCCATGATAATTCTCCAGTTGGGAAGAGGATACCCATACCCCTCTGGGTGTCCAAGGAAACTCTCCCCCACAGAGCCCCCCTCAACAAGCCCTCTTACTCCACTGTTTTTTGCTGTCCTTTCCCTCTCCCTCCTCACTGACAGAAGCTGAGCTTGCACCTCTACTCTCTTATCCCTGAGCCCCAACCTCTTCATCTTGTTGGCTGGTCTGGCTGGGGAAGGGTAGTCTAGCTGGAGAACAGGCAGCTGGAAGCAGGCCAGCCAGAGTGACATGGCAACACCAGAGCAGTGGCAGAAAAGGCACTAAGCCAGAGTGGGGACTTGGGTGGGGTAAGGGGCTGAAAGAAACAGTTTTGGGTGTCCAGTGGGTTGGGCACATTCTTTATGTAGGATGGAAAGAAGTATGAAGGAAAAGTGAAAGGCATCTACACCCAGAAACACTGAAATACTTGGTAAGCATACAAGGAACAAAGTGTTTCAGCTTCCCCTCTCTCCATAGGGAAACTGAGTCATTCCCCTCCCCAAACTGGAATCTTTTCCTTTGGAAGCCTGGGTTCCCCCTACTATGGGGAGTTAATTGGCAGCAGGTGGATGGGAAAAGAAAGTGAGTTGCTCCCACATACTCATACACAGCGGGTTCCAAACCAGTTCCCTTCCCCCAACAGTCTTCACATTAGAATCCTTGCTTTCTATCTGTCTGGGGGAGGGGAGAATGGGGGAAAGACCTACATGGTGGCCCCATCTCAGGGACAGCTCCTGGATCCCCCACAGTTCTCTGTGCCTGTCTTCCCACTGTCCCCACCAGGAGCCCAGAAAGAGACCAGCCAGGACAATGAAAGGCAAAATTTGAATGAATCTGTGGAGTAGTTTCCTCACTAACATCCTTAAGGATGCCTTCCCTCTCCACACTCCACACACAGCAGAGAGGAGGAGAGAGGAGTTCCTGAGGATTCTAAGACCTGGACGGTGGCAGGGAAGGGAGGTCAGCCTGCCCTTCCCTCCACGTCCTGAGAGCCACTCTATATTCTCGGCCTCCTCACCTGCCTGCCCTGGTGGCTCTTTTAACTGGAGGAGGAAGGCTGCAGTATGGCACGACCCAAACCCTGCGGTAAAGGGGACTGCTTCCTACCCCTCCTCTCCTCTCTCCCACTGGCCAAGGGAGGATGAGCAAGTTCTATGTGGGAGCATAAACAGAAGCTGAGAAAGTTAGGTAATCCAATACTTGGCACATACAAAATGCTCCAAAAAAAAAAAAAACGTGTCAAATGAATTAATAAAAGTATGAGAAACCCTGAAAGACAACCTGGAGAAGGTGTCAGCTATTTTCTACTTCTTTCCTCAGCTACCAAAAGCAAGGCTCAGCCTGAACTGTGTCCCTTTCCTGGCTCCCCTGTTTTATGACCCTAACCATAGCACCTGATGGGACAAAGATGATTGACAGAAGGGCATTAAACGGCCACTTTTAGCAGGGCAATTGTTCACTAATTTTCTCTTCTCTCATCTCTGTCCGTCCCTTGATCCCCAACTCCCATAAGCTGTCCCCCTTTTTTCCTCTCCATTTCCACCATCTTTTCTTGATTTCCACCATCTTTTCTTGATTTAAAGATCACAAAGGGGAGAAACACCTGTTTTTAGATTCTTTTAGCTGGTGGTACTTCAGTTCCCTCTGCTGTCTTCCCAGAACTCTGCAATAAGTGGACTGCATCTGTAATAAGTGATACAGTCAAGGGGAGCCTGTTGGACACCTCATCACTTGCTGACATCACTTAGAGCCCAGGAGGTCAAGATGAGATGGGGGAGGGGAATTACTGAGGCCCAAGTCATAGAGGTAATTCCAGGACAGGCTGGTAGAGGGGCTGTGCCCTGCTCCCCCAAACTGCTTGAGGCTTCTTGGCAGGGGTGGAGGGTGCTGTGTGGGGTCTTGGCTTTCAGGCTTTTGGGGGAAGCTCTTCAGAAAGATATCTGGATCCTCTGGTTTCTAGGGGTGGGACCCTTGAGAAATCTTGGGGTGCTCCCTAGCAACAGTCTGAGAAGGAAGAAAGGAAGAAGGGAGAGAGGGTGGGGCCTGGGCATAGCGGCTCCGTTCCGAGCAAGCCCAGAGAACAGGCTGTTCCTGCTGCCTCCTGGGCAACCAGCATCTAAGAGGGAGGGGGCTGTCAGACATCACCTTGGAGAGCCTCTATCCATCCTTATTGTGCCCCACCCTCCTGCTCCCTGTCCTCCCTCCCTGGTCAGCACTGAAGCAGAGGTGGGGGGAATGAGAGGAGACGCCTGAGTAGGGGTTTCATGGCAGGAAGAGAACGGAAGTTGGGGACGAAATGAGACTAAGAGCTAGAAGCTTCAAGAAATGGGGGTAGGCAGGGTAAGTGGGGTGGAAAGGGAGATGATGTGGCACAGGGGCAGGGGTTATCTGCCTAGGATCTGGGCTGGATCCTGGCATCTGGTGAGATGCCTGCTTTGGAGGCAGTGAGTGCCCTTCACTTTGCCCTTGCCCAGGTCTATTGCCAGCCCACACTAGGAGCCAAGGAAAGGGAGAGAGGTAAAGAGAAGATGGGAATAGTAAATTTACCTTTGAGTTCAAGATGCTCCACTCCTCTTCTGGGGGATAAAAGGTAGATCAGGAGACACTTCATTTTCCATGGCTCTGAGACTAGGATTTCAAAAAGACTCCCCAACCTAAGATCTTTAGGGCCTTTCATAAAAAGAGAGAGGTGGTGGGGGAAGCTGGCATGGAAGGGAGGCAAAACCATAGCACTTTTACCTTCTTCCCCTAGACTCTATCATCCTGCCCTAATCCTGATTACTGCCAGACCTCTCCATTCCCTCCTGCTGCAGCCTGATTGATGCAAAGTATAAATGTAGCTTATCTCACAGATGCATCCCATGCATCAGGATTCTCTCCCAACTCCTTGGACAGTCATACAGTGTGCACCCTGAGCCCTGCACACTGCAGCTCTGTTCCCCAGGACTTCAGCCAACCTCGACCACTGAGGAGGTGGCATCAACTGGCAGTCAGCCACTCTAAATGCGCCTCACACTGCCCACTGCCCTGACTCTGCACCATGCAGCCTCCTGTCCCATGTGCAGCTGTTGCACGTCCACTGCAAGCCCAGGCTGAACCCACAGGTTCACTTACTGTGCTGAGGCTGCACACTGCAGCCTCAACTCCCCACTGCAGCTGCAGACTCCCTTCACCCACTGCATACCCCTCATCACCACCACTCCACTCTGCATCCCATGGATTTCATTCCAGCTGCCCCTTCTCATCCCTATGATTCCAGGGGGTCCCGAGAGAGGCCTGACCCTTCCCATGCATTGTAAACCCTATTACCCCTGTAAGAGAAGTGGCTCCAACAGAGCTGAGGATGCAGGCAGCTGAGACTAAGATGAGCATGGGCCGCTCAGCTTAGATAGGCCGTTGGCTAGAACCCCACACTGAGCAAGTGAGTCTGCCTAGTATAAACTGGGTGACTGGTACAGCAGTTCCCCTTCACACACAGACACACACATACACACACATGCCCCTCCCCAAGGGCAGACTGGAGACAGGGCCCCACCCTGGGAACCATGGGGAAGGCTGTGGCCCCCTCTGGTAAAACTGGGCTAATGACAGCAGGGGAACCGGTGGGGCCAGGGGTGGGTGCTGGGGTAATTAGAGCTCTGCCTGGTGCTAGGAGATCAGAGCTGAAAGGGGCTCTGGCGTCATTGGAATGATTTTATGTCCGTGAACGCAGGTGTGCACACATGCATGCACGGGGAGTGGGTCTGTCTAGTGGACCCACTTTTCTGGGGAGGCGGATCAATTTTTATGCAGCCTGACCTTTTTAGATTGACCCTGGTACCATCTGGATATTGGTGGGGGCAAACAGGAGGAAATACCACTTCCATGAAGCTGGGAGCTGAGGCCATAGGACAACCCCTGCGCCCTCCCCAGATCAGCAAGGGGACCAGATTGTTGAGGAAATGGCTGATGACAATGAATAGAAAGAGCCTACAGAGAAGGAGAGTGACATTTGAAAGGGGAGGCAGCGGATCAGGTAATGATGTTAGAAATGAGAGAGGAATGGGGAGGAATGGGGAGGAAACCTCCAAAAGAATTTTTAAAAGAATGAAGTTAAAAGGGCCTCAAGGGTCACCTGCCCAACCCTCGTGTTTTAAGGCTGAAGAAGCATTGCTCCCGCGAACTGTAATGATTTGCTCAAGGTCACACAGTAAGGGCGAAGAAGGGACCCGAACTCATAACAAACTCCTAGGGATTAGCATTTAGACTTCCGCCCCGGGTTAGAAGGTGCAGGCACTCGTCGATATGCCTTTCTCCATCCCATGGTGCAAACCCCAAAACCTCCAATTCGTCTAGAAAGCGCCGGCTATTTTTTAAATGACATATTTTCCAAAATATGTTACCAAGTACCACTCCTGCCGGAGACTCCTGGAGTGGGGAGGCGAGGGCGAGCGGGGCTGGTGCAGAGGCGGCCGAGGGGCTGCCGGGCAACTGGCCGGGGTCCTGGGGTGCGGCGGGGGGCGGGGGTTGGGGGCCGGCGGCGGCGAGGCGGCCTGCAGGGAGCAGCCGCGAGCCGGCCGGGAGCGCGGAGCTTGAGCCCCAGCCGGAGCGGGGCGGGGGAGGGAGGAGCCAAGAGCGGCCGCCGCCTCTGCCGGAGGAGCCGCGGGGCCGCCACACTCGCCCCCCGCCCCCCCCCCCCGCGCTCACTCGCACTCACACCCGGGCGCAGGAGGCGGGCGGCCCGGGCCCCACTGGCCCCCCATGGACGCCCCCGTAACGGGGCGCTGAGACCCTGCGTCGTTGCCCAGCCGGGTCCAGCGCGCCACGCCGAGGTAAGGGGGAGGGAGCGAGGGGGCATTAATATGCAAATGCTTCGCGATTGATTATGCAAAGCCGCGGGGCTCGGTGGCGGTTTCCCAGGCGGGCTGGGGGCGCCCGGAGGGTACTTGCTGCCAGCCTCAGTCTGCCCCGGCGCCCCAGCGACCCTGTCACAGCCCGGGAGCCCGCAACTTACGCCCTGGGGAAGGGAGGTGTTGCTAAGAGGTCGGTGGGCCCCGAGGCTCGCCGGCGGAGATGGCGTCCAGGCCCCCCCCTCGGGAGCCCGTCCGGCCTCTGTCTAGCCTGTCTGCTGCGCATTCCCGGCCCCGGCCCCACTGCCGGCCACCCGAGCTCCCCCTCCCGCCGCGGTTTGTTTACGGTGCGCCGGAGGTCTGCCCCCCCAGCCCCCACCCCTAGCCTCCCAGGCCGAGGCCGAGGCCGAGTTAGTGGCCTTTGCAAAGCTGCCTCCAGCTGCAGAGGGCAGTCTGAGTGGGGTGGGGGGTGGGCTTGCACGGGCCCTGGGAGAGGGAAGTCCCCCCCTTCACTCGCCGCCCCAATTGAGCATGGCTCTCTGGTTGCAACACTCCTAATTGCAAAAATGCGGCTTGAGGGAGGGGGTAACGTATTGTGGAGGGAGTATATTTTGAGGGTCCCAAGACATTTAGGAGAGTTGCAAGCTAGGGTAGTTGGGGAAGAGAGGGAGGAATGGACCTGTAACCTGTGCTGTGTGTGCCTACACCCCTTGTTTCCCTCCCCTTGCAACGTGTCTCTGGTGCCCCTTCTCTGCCTGGGGCCCTCCCTTGTCCGGTGTGAGAGAAAGGTCTAGGTTGTGGTGGAGGCACGATAGGGGCAATGGAGAGAGCCACCGTTTCCAGGCGTGGAGGGGGCAGAAAGCAAGCCAGTGGTCTGCGAGCCTGCCCCTCAGTGCTGGCTCTGGTCCCAGGAGGGGGAAGGGATGAAGGGGGCTGTTGTCCAAGATGAGGGGAGAAGCAAATGTGATATGCAGACACAAAGATATGCCCACACAGCTAGCCACATGCACAGCCAGGGACATCCAAGCAGACTCAAGGACAGGAGCTGCTGGACACACCCACATGGGGACAAGGGAAGAGGCAGGCTGCCGTTGCACTGGGGAGCTCAGAGGGGTGGGACACACCCACGGGAGACCAAGAGCAGGGAGACTGGCCCATGCACATACCCACGCACAGGGTCACACGGAGATGCTGTCACACACATGGGCAAGGAGGAGTCGCTGTCACCCACACAGAAAAAGTCACTATCGCACGCATGCATGAACACAGAGCAATTGCACACAGCCACACATTACAAAAGACCCTGTCACTCACAGGCACACACGTGCTCACATGAGCTCAGTCACACAGGCATCATCGCCTTCCGTGACAGTCGCTGTCACTCAGTCAAATGCAAATGCAGTTATACATAAACACATGTATACACAACTTAGCAACAAGTATTTTCCTGGACTGTTAGTGTGGCTCTCTGAGGTTCAGTGTACAAAACCCCTGCTGCCAAGAAAATTAAATTCATCTGTGTGAAAAGACTTCCCTGCATCATGGTGCAAGGCATACCTTCAAGATAACATTCTCTGTATCACTTGTCATCCCACCCTACTAGAAGGTGAACTCCTTGAGACTTGGGAGAATCACTCCAGGAGCTCTGGATCCCACCCAGAGCCTGCACCAGAAGTGCTCAGTGAATACTTATTAATTGATTGGCTGTGGGCTCTCCTGACACAGGTGCACTCATTTGTACCCAGTCCCAGGGACTCAGGTGCAGAAGAAGGTGCATCCAGTGATTCATAAGGCTCAGGTCCACACAGTCACAGGTCTGCACTGACAGTTATGTCCAGACAACCCTAGATGCTCACAGTGTACCTGTGTGGTCAGGCACACTCCTAGATGCACACACAGAGGCTTTTTCCCTCAAGCTTCTTCCTTTAGGCTCAGCTTTTTTTTTTTTTTGAGGGACAGAGAAGAGAGCAAAGAGAGCAGGGACAGGGGGGTTCCAGAGGGCCGAGTCATGGGCCTAAAGCAGTGTCCAGTGACTTCCAGCAGCTGGGATTATCCTGGCTGCTGGGGGACCGGGGTGTTTAGGGAGAGCTGGCTCTTAAGGAGCCTTCCCTATCCCCACCCTAAAAGCCAATGAGATCTAGCTGCTCCTGCTGGGGTCATTGTCTAAGCCTTTCCTGGGGCCAGTCCCTCGCCCCCAGCTGAGTTCCTGCCTCCCCCATGAATCTGGCCCCTTTTCCCACCTCTGCCCTGCTGTCTAAACTTGGAAGCCTTTCTTAGGTGGCTGTATGCTGTTGAGTGTCTGGGTGAGTGATGTGTATTTTTGACTTGGAATTTCTTTCTAACACTGTCTCTATTGCTGTCTTGCTCTGTCTGATTCTCCTCCTTGCTTCTCTGCCAATCTGTACCTCTCTGTCACCCTTTTGCTACCCCTGTCTACCCCTGTTCTTGTCTCTGTTCTGCCACAGTCTCCTTTTTCAGAGCTGGGAACTGGCAGTGATGTTCTTCATACTTTTCCAGTTGTTAATACTCAAACCCCACCCCTCGGCCCAGCCTGCCCTGCCTCTGGGGTCAACCAGAGGTTGGGGTGGGGGGGTGGGGGGCTCGGCTGGCTGCTCAGGACATCCTGCATTTCCTCAGTGCTGCAGCTGCAGCCAGCAAGTTTTGGGGGCTGGGAGTGGGTAGAAGGGGAGGGGGTCAGCTACTGCCTATGCTGACCTCTTAGGCTGGCAGGCTGAGCAGGGTACACCAGCTCAGTGGAAGCCCTGAGTGTGCAGGCTACTGCCAGCTAGTTCCTAAACAGGCCAGCAGGGAGGATCTCCACCACACTAACCCACTGGAAAATAATGGCCCCCATGGGCAATAGCGGGAATTGGCAGGACCAGCTTAAACAGAGCCCATGGCAGGACTCAAAATGGCCTTTCTCCACACCCCTGGCAGCTGAGACCCACCTCGGAGATGCCCACAGCTGTGTCCTCTTAGCCTGGCCATAGAGCCTGGTTCTGAGGGTACAGCTGCCCAGACTGTCAGTGGGGCTGAGTAAGACCCTCTCCCATGAGTGCAGTCTCCAGCCCAGAGTGGCAGAGTGAGCACTTCTTCTAGAGAGGGAATTTGAGCAGGGGGCACTGGGGCAGAAGGCCCAGAGCCCAGGAGGCCCCAAGGCTGTCTCCAGCCATGGCCTATTTTGATGAGGAGGCACTGGTAGTGATTCTACCATAGAGAATCCATGGGCTGCTATAGAAAGGGAAACTGAGGCTTGGTCACGGAACACAGCTGGATGAAAAAAAGAGGTATCATTCCTCTAGCAGGTAATATTCTGTAATGGTTAAGAACAAGTTTTTATGTTTTGTTTTGTTTTTTATTTAGACTGCCTGGGTTTGAATCCCACCTCTACTATATGCTGGTTGTATAACCTTGGGAAAGCAATTTAACCTTTCCCTTGCCTTATCTGTAGATTGGGGATGATAATACTTATTCTGTTTTTTGAGGATTAGGGAAGTTAAAATATATAGATTGTTTAAAAAAGTGTCTGGTGCATAACAAGCCGTGAATGTGTTACAATGAGGAACCCTGTGGGGGTTTGGCATCCACTGGGCTTCTTGGAGAAGCCTGGTGGAGAATTAAATCTCCCAGACATCAGGAATAGGATGGGGGTGAGGGGTGGGGATAGTGGGTCCCTAATCTACAGCTTCCTTGCTCTTCATGTCACCTGTCTCTCCCCTACAAGTTTTTGCAACCTGGTGCCCCCTGCCTAGCCTCCTCTAATCTTCAACTTTTAGCTGCTTAAAAGGAACCATTGGCATACTGGACTGGGACACACCTCCCCAGTTAGCAGCACATGCATGAATGTTTGGGTATCATTGCATCTCTGTTGGGAAAAGGCTGAGCACTGGGAGTGGGGAGAGATATAAGGAAAGTAGGCTCCTCTCCCCAAGCCTTCTTCTGTCTTACTTATAGAGTACTCTGAATATCTTCCTCTCTCCTGGGGATCCCAAATTCCATCTACCTACCATCGAGAATCAGCCAGGACAGACACCAGGTTCCCCACTTCTGCTTAAGGGGACATTAATATGGCGGCTGCAGGCACTAAGGAGCACTGTGGTGGGCGTGGCACTTTAAAATCGAGGGTCTGTCCTTGGTTGTCTCTTTCCCTCTGTGAGTCTGGTGATAAGATACCCTCCCCTCCTGAAAATCCCATTTATTCAGTCCCTCCCCAAGGTACAGCAAGGACAATGGTGGGGTGCCATGTGGTGGGGCCACTGGAGAGCCTCTGGAATGGGGGCTAATCTCAACTCTAGTTCCCATGGCTGCAAAGGCGCCTTTTGTACCTCTTGGGAAGAAAGGCAAGCACAAACCTTGTGGAAAGAGCCCTGGTTGGGAGTTGGGCAGCTGGGTTTCTGCCATTCACCAGTTACTGACTTTGTGCCTGGGTTTCCATCATCTGGAGACGAGGATGCCTACCTCACTCAGAGTGAGGGTGACACCTGTGTTCAGTCCGTGTTGCGTCCTGCTATGGTAAGCAATGCCTGTAAATTCTCCTGTCCTCCCAGGGCCTGGCCCGCTGCAGGGTGGGGATACGTGCAGCCAGAGACAGTTCTGTCTCTCATGGAGGCACAGGGCTGGTGTATGGTGGGGGACACGTGGTTTTCAGGCATGTGGTGCTGTCTGCCCTCTTTCCTGGCAGGCCAAGGCTGGGGTACCAAAGGGTTCCTCCCTCTTGTGTGCCTTTGTGTGCAGTGGTCCGGAGGGAGGGTGCCGAAGTTCTCTGGGTAGACAAGGGGTGCAAGATGGCACGTACTGGTGCCCAGGAAATGTTCTGGTTGCTCCCCTGCTTTGGGCGTGAGCGCTCAGTCTAGGGACAAGGGTCTGGGGTTAGGATTAGAACCAAAGGCACAGCTACAACCTAGCGGTGACGAAGAGCAGCGGGACTGGACCAGCCTCCAGTCCACCTTCTCTTCTTCGTCCTCTCTTCCTCTTGTAAGGAA